ACGTCGATGGTTGGCGCGCGAGTCGGGATAAATAAGAAAAATAGATTCTTCGACCCAACGACCCAACTCTTCTCTCCCCTTTTTCTAACACGATGTACAAAGAGTGGAGCGGCGGCGGAAATATTTACGAACGTCGCGGTACCGTAAACTTCTTCCACGTTAGCGGTTAGGCACGCTGCGAAAACAAACGCCAACCGATCTACACCGATCGACTCGACGCGAGACGAAACAAGTCGCAGATGCGATCTTCTAGTCGCGTTCGCGAAAACGACAATTGATTCTTTTCGATGCTAGTATCGCGTGAAAGTAAACGATCGCCTTACGCGTATTCCGCCAATTTCTACGATTCGTCGCTCGCTCCTTTTATAAATCCGCCGATGACGAGAGTTCGAGCTCTCGACTCCGAAGAACGTCGGGACAATTTACCGCGACAATCACGCTCGTAACTAGCCGATCTAATAGGAAAAGTCGCATCCACGGAAGAACGGAATCGGTTTGCCGTATGCGAAAGAACGCGCAACGTCGACGACCGTCTTAAGGATGTCCTCGCGTAGATTCCGCTGCCGCGAAACATCGTTCGTCCGTGCAAAGAAACGAAGATATCGAACGATCGGTCGATTCGGCTTTAGACGAAACAAACTTGGACGCGATGCGAGCTGTATCGTCGAGAGGACGGAAAGTCTGGCGGGTTATCGAGCGGTCGGGAAATCTGTATTTATAAGTACAGGACGAAGGAAGTACGGCGGTACCAACGGCGGCTAAAGTCGGCTCTTATTACCGCGATATCCGTTGTACGATAATTTTAGATCGCAAAATTTTACGATCCACGAAACCACTCAAGAGGCGTGTGAATTATACAAAGATGCAACGAAACAGCACCGCGTACTTGAAAGTGTAACGGACGACGCGAGCGACCGAAATAACAAAAGGTAAGAAGTAGCGCGGTAAATTACGTTTTGCCGCTCTTTTCTCTTTCATAAACCGCCGATCGAATTTAACGCGACGTCCAACTTGCCGGAGTTTCGAATCGACGCGCAAAGGATCCTGCACGTGGTGTAAAAAGGGTCCTTGGAAACGAAACAACGAGAGACATCGGTAAAACGGGAATAGCGAAAACGAGATTCTCCGTTGTTTGTCTCGCACCGACTGCTCCACGTTCTATCACACGGATAACGATTTACACGCGTAAATTCGACGCGCTATTGTCGCTATCGAGACGCTTTGCAACGCTGCGTTCGCTAGTTGGAAATCCGTACGCGCGGCTGTGACCGAATATCGCGAATAATACGAATAATACGAATAATACGGTGGAATTAATCGTGAAAGGAGTAACCGGGGATTCGAGCAAGCGGTTGATCTTGATAATTCAACGGTTAACTCAATCAGCTCGATCAATAGGTTTTTAGATAACCTAACGGTCGATTAATCAAGATTCTGCGTGCACAAAGGGTCAACGCGCGGCAAGAAATTAACGAGTCTCGAGCGAACGATCCTCGACGAAGGCGAGGGGGTCGAAGAGACGCGAAAGTAGAGAGAAAGAAGCTTCGCGGGGCAACCTAATCCCTAAAACTCCAACTATCCGAGATCGTCGCGTCGAAACGTTGTTTCTCAGCGGCAAGCCGACCTCGATCAGCGCGCGTTTCGCCCTGTTTTTAGGACAAAGATGGTAATTTAAGCGGCGAGGGAAGTTGCAAAGGTGGAAAAAGAACCGATAGAACGAGGAACCGGCGTTAGGTATTTTAAACGCCACTTCCTCCTCGAGTTTTCCTCGAAAGAGGGGAACCGGATGCCATCTATCGCGAGCGTCTGCTTCCTTTTGCTCCCTCTTGGAATTAACCGGACGAACGAGAAAGAACGAACACCTCTCTCTCTCTCTCTCTCTCTCGAGAAAGAAGGCTCGCCAAGATGAAGGAAGAGGGAAAGGGTGGAGAGATCGGAGGAGAGAAGAAGATCGAATTGACCGCTCGTCGAATTCTTCGAAGAAGGAACGAGGCAACGAGACGGAGATAGCGAAAAAGAAAAGTCCAAGGTCCGCGCTTCCGGTCCGGATACAGACCGGTTCTCTTCCCTGCGGTGCGAGAAGGAGAGAATAGCCGGACGCGTATTCCGCGATGTTTCTCGTTACGCGATTCGTCTTTTTCTTCCAATCAGCGTATCCTATCCTCTTTACCCGATATCCTAAATTCGCTCGTACATCGTCGCGCCCGATATCGTCGTCTCGATCGAACAACAGCGCCGCTTCTTAACGTCCGTTTTCACTCGGCACGATTTTAAGCGAAACGAACGTACGAACGATTCCTCGTTACATTTGTAATTCGACCACTCGTTACCGCCTGTTTGGGCGAAATCGAATTGCGCGCATCGACGAGACCGAGGACGCGCAACGCGAATTTCGAAGCGAACGTCTCGTCGATCGACTCGTATCCGTAAGAACAAAGTATCGGGCCGAAAATGGCGTGGAAAAATTCCAACAACGATACACGGCGGTTGCTTTTTCGTCGGGTTCGTCGTTCGCGGTATACCGCGGTATCGTCTCGGAAAATTCTTATCCGAAACGAACATTCGCGCTTCGCCGCTATCTATTTACGCGCGAAAAAGGCCCGGCGTCGTACGATCGTCGAGTCGTAAAAATCGCTTGCTCGTACGGTCGTTGCGCGAGAAACCTCTCCGAAAGGCAAAGCGCAAAGGACAACGAAAGAGGCAGTGGCTAGAAATTTGCCGGTGGTTAGACGTCGACACCTCGTCCGTGATCTTAACGATCGATCGAGCCCTCCCTCGAGGCTCCGCAGAATTTTCCATTCCCCTTACCACCCTGCCGCGGTAGTGCTTCCTCCCTCGCTTCCGGGTTCCCGGCTCTTCCGGCCGGAATTACGTTTCGAAAGGCTTTCTTCTCCCGTCACCCTCGCCACCCACTTCCTCTTCCTTCCACGTTCTCGTTTCTCCCCTTTAACCTCTTATCGGCTCTCTCGACTGCGATAGAAAATCGACGTAAAAACCTTTCCATCGTTTCCAACCTTCTCCGTAGCCTCTCTACGACTCTACGAAACTTTTCCTTCTTCCACGCTCGAAAAACCGATACACCGCTTTATTCTAATTACTTTCCAAGACTCTCCGCTCTTCTTTCTTCCTTCGATCCAACGATCGCGCGTTTTGGCTTCGACTCAACCTCTCGACCGGTATCGTCGGGTCATCGGCGATTCGATCGGATTTCGGTTAGGTTACCACCCCAATTTTAGATTACGCGGTTAATTTTAACTCGCGCGTTCTATACCGTACGCGATAAGTGTCATCGATCGTGTTCGTTGCGCGAGACACGGATTGCGGGCTAACGCGGTTTTTCAAACTTTCTAAAAGCATCGGATTCGCTTCGAGAAGAAGAAAAAAGGTCATAACCGTTCGCAAACTTTCTTATCTTTCTTCTCGCTTCCATTCGTTATCGCGGAAACGTCCACGTTGTTATCGGTATCGCGACAACGAGTCGCGAATTATAAAAATAACGTTTTCTTTCTAGATTACGATGCAATTAGAAGCGGAGTTAACAACGCCCGACTACAAAAGTATTTTCCAATCGAGTGCTTTTTTTATCAGTCGTACGTTCCATTTTTACAGCGCGGTATCATCCGGTATGTCGAGATCCGTTGTCCGAATCGTTCGGAGAAAATTCCAACGTTCTCGTCCAACGAGAAGATTCGACGGAGGAAACAAGGGCTCGCGGCTTCGAACGTCTAGAAACACGATTTTCGAAAAATACATCCTGCTGGACGTTCGCTAAATTCCTCCGACTATAAATCACCTTTCCTTTTTGGTCTTCGTTCGACCCGATCCTCGCGCTTTTGCACGGCCACCAGTCCATCGGAATGTTGCCCTTTTCCTCCTACGTTTTCATCGGCCACTCGCCACTGTTTTCGGTACGATCGATCGATTCTGTTTGCGGTGATTCGAGTCGAGCCATGTGGCCCGCGGGACAATTCCGCGAGGCCATACGCCGGTTTAACGATTGTTTCGTATATCGCTGACTCGAGGCACGAACGAAAGCAGTCACCTAGACCGATAACGTACGGTCGAGAGGTCGTAAGGAAACTTTTAAAACTAAAAGGACGTTCGCTCGTAGAAACGACGAGGGGAGTAGGAATTAGAGCAAAGGCGTACGCGCTTGTCAAGCAACCAGGAAGAGAAGCAGTTTCGAGAAGAACGAAATACGCGAGAAATTAGCCGAACAGCGGTAAACAGGAACAGAATGGAAAACTGATTACGCGTAGAATACAAAGGCGAGGGGGGAACGTTCGGAGAAAGATGGCGAGCGAGCAGCGATCGTCCGTCCGATCGTCGAGTCCGTCTATTATTTTCTACGCGGAGATTCGCTTCTTCGCTTTTTAATCGATACGTCTTGCTTGTTCCTCTGTGTCTCCAACTATCTTTTTTACCTTGTTTTCCCCCGCGTAAGTAAACGTATCGTTCCAGTAAACACAGAAAAGCGTAGTAGAAATACTTTTTTAAGTCACCAACGGAAATAAATATTCAACGACGGCGGTTAAACGTTCTCGGAATTCGCTTTAGGGGCTTGAGATCTCGCGACGCGTAACTCGGTCGCGAAGATCGCGCCAATTCTCGTCGAGTAGCGCGTCCAAGTCGAATAGAACGAACGAGCTTGCCGGATCTTCGTCAATAGGCATCGCGTAGCAGCGAGCGAACGGACGCGGATAAAGCAGGCTGTTGTCTGGCGTAGATTCGCGCCGAAGCTCGGCTTTGCCGAACACGGGCGACACACGGCTTCTTCCTCTCGTCTCTTTTTCTTTTTCTTTTTTTGCCAACCAAGGGAAAAAGGAAAATAAAGAGCGAAGCGGTAACGCAGCCGCGCTAAGGAGGAAGGAATTATGCATGATTTTGTTCGGGCTCACGTGTTATGTAAATGATAACGTGCAACTTCCTGAATAACGATCAAGGAGCGTAAGCAACAGCCGCTCCGCTTAGCCGTCGCGTCGTATACTCGCTCGTCAGTGTACATTGTGCATATGTGCGTAAGTAGGAGCGCGCGCGACCGTGCTCGCGCGTGCGTCGTCGTTGTAAGCGCGAGAGAAAGAGAGCGGCTGTGCAGGCCAGGGCTACGTAAATCCCTCGCTCCGTTTCCTTTTTTATTCAAATAGAATTTTAGATTTTTTAAATGCCGAATACGAGCCACGGGTTATACTCGCGATCGTTGCGATCGCGCGATCGCGTTACGCCTAAGATTTTTCAATTTTCCTTTCTCTCAGTCTCGGCAGAACGTTCCTGGTCGATCGGTTCGTATCAACGACGATAACGGTTTGTTTTTTCAGTCTCCCGATCGTCAAAAACGGTTTGCGATCGTTTGCACTCTGCCGATCGTTATTTGCCTGCAACTCTCGACTATACGTACTTTTCGTATATGTAACGATGTTGCGCGATTTTGTCGGTAGGAAATCTTCGAATTCCCTAATCGAGCGGACGGATTATGCTTGCTATTGGTCTAATTGAAGGCAATAAGATGGCAATATAATATAGCAATTAGCGAGAACGGAACGAGCGTAAGAACAAACAAATTATATTTCTAATCGCCTATATGTAAAATGTTAAAGACTGGGACACGAATATTTCATTCGTTTATTTGCCGAGAGCGTTAAATAATCGGTCGAGCTTCTTTCCCTTTTTCAATTGCACAAAATTTTCGTCGCCGATCGATTCCCATTGTCCTTGCTATTTCGCTGTTACGGCAGCTAACCAACGAATTATACTTGTACGCGATTTACGGGCTATCAAGAGACGCTCGACTTATCGACGAAAGGACGCGAGCGACATTTCTCGAACGTTTAAACGCAGAACGGAAACGTGCATTTAAATCGACAAATATAACGCGGTAAATAAGTAATTCGAACGAGTCAATGTCTCGTACGGTAAGCGATCTATCGTCGATAACTCGTAAACTAACGGCTGATATTTATTAGAAACGTGCGTATATGCTACGTACCGTGTCAAGCGTAAGCTATAACCTGCAACTTAATTTTCACAGGGACCTCGGCTGGAATTTTTTCAACACGTTTGAATTTCAAGCTGGATCTTCGCGACATCAGAGAAATATCGCTCGCGTTCCATTCGTCTTCGCTATCTCGTGTTAAAATAGGAAACGTATTAAAAATACGATATTTAATTTTAGCTGAATTTCCTGTTATACTTCCAATAACTCGATACCAATTAAAAGCAGAGAGATATTACAGCTATTATTGGAATTAATAATTGAGAATTTTTAAGACGCTTTTATAGATATACTTTCTCGGAGGAGAATGAGAAGATTGTTGCAAGTTTTATCGTTATCTATAATCCCATACGCCGATTAACTGTCTTTTTTCTTGTAACAGTAGTTCCGTTGGAATGTAGGTTAGGTTATCAAACCAATTGCAACGACCAGCAACCTATACACTTGGATAACAATTTTTCGCTATTTACACGGCAATGCGTATTTGCCAAATATTTTATATCGGACAGAAGAAAAGGAGTCGTTAGGGTTATGGCAAGTTTGTTTACGACGCGTCAAAAATTCCATCGATACGTTTCGCGTCGATAAACAACGTATAAATATGTATGCGTGGATTAACTGCAACGGTCGAACGACGCTGGAAAATCCTCCGCCAAACGGATCTTGGTCCAACGAAGCTCGATGACAGGCACGGACGAACTTTAAACGATTTGCTTTGGCTATTTACGCGATATCGTGGATCGTATCTTAATTCGAATACGATGTACTTCCGGAAAATGTACACCGACGTATAAACTAGACCGATAAGATCAATACGAGTAGCTTTTGTCGTCATAAATAATAGGCCGTTGATTAAAACGACAAAATATTCTACGAATAACTCCATAATTCATCGCGTTTAATAGGATAAAAAAACGTGTAATCGTAATATTGAAATTGATCTCAACATGCGTCATTATCGTAGGAACGTAAAAGATCCTTCAAACTTTTGAAACGCATCGGGCATTTGGCGTTCGGTAACGAGGCTCGATATTTCCAAGTAACAGAAGCATATATAGCAATTCCAATGGACAACGAGCAATTCTAACGACGAGTTGCTCGTCCTTTCGGATATAAATATCGAAATTAAACAAGCTTTCCATCTCGAAATGTACGACTAAAAGCATTGCAACGAAAAGGTGGAAAGCTTCTATTATGCCTTAAATTATCAACGATTCGAATCTTTTACATAACCTAGAGATCGCTTCACACGGCCGTATTTCCGAATTACAGACGCGGAAAGAAACGATAAGACACGATAGGAAATGCGGAAAGAAGGAAAAGAGAGCGAAGGAAAACAAGCGATAAGACGAACGTTGGATTTTCCTCGCGTACCCGTCCGAACAGCGACGTCGAACAAAGATTACGCGAAAGTGGAAATAAGAAGAAAGCAAAAATAAGATGATTACCTCGATCGCGGCTTAGCCGATGAACCGTCCGATGCGGCGTAATATCAATGGTGTAGATCGGTTAGCGAGTCGAAGCGAATCCCCTCGGCGGTCATCGGGCAGAAATCCGCGCCCTAATACGTCGTGACTACAGCCTGGCATCCACAGGTATCCTCGAGACACCGACCACGCGCACGTGTATCTTTTCTTCCGCTGCTCTTCTCTATCTCTCTCCGTTCGTCCGTCCGTCCGTCCCTCTTTCCCTCTCCTTTCTTCCGCACCTTCTACGTATTTATTTATACACCCATTCCAATATCCCCGCTAATCGTACGGATCCCCCGTGTTGCTCGCACACAACCAGAGATCCCCGTTCGACAACGATTAAACGTTCAGCAGATATCTGCACACGGATATCGGTTTTCGGTGTCCGTACGAGAAAAGTCCAGAGCTATCGAAATATCCATGTGTGTATACGCGTATATCACAGAGCTATCTACGCGGCTAAGTGTATCACAGTCGACACCACTCGAATATCACTCTCCCTCTCTCTCTCTCTCTCTCTCTCTCTCTCTTTCTCTCTCTCTCTGCCGTTCTCTTCTCTTCCCTTCTTTCTGTCCTTTTTACCCTATTTTCTCCACAGGAGGCTACCTCAGGTAGCTACGGCGACCGGTAGACGAATTCGAGGAGGATACGCGAAACGGATTTCCTTTCACTTCGGACACGACTCGAGTGTTTCGGAGGCGCGACGACGACTACGCGGCAAAATCCACTCACAGAGTGTCGGAGCTGACGAGCGACTGAGCCGCAAGTTGCGATCTCCGCTGGAAGCTTGCCGCCACACACCCCACTCCTCTCGCGCGCGCCATGAGAGACTGGCGATAGCGCGCATGCGCCAGACTTGCCGCGCCGTATAACGCGTTCGACGAACGGAGACAAATGGACCACCGGAACGCGCGACCCTTCGAGTCCGACGAGGACGAATAGATGGCCGGTTATACGGCGCGAACGGAAATAATCGAAGCGTTGTAATCGAGTGGGAAATACCATAGGACGTTGGAGGGGGCTTCACCGACTTCCTCGTAGCTTCCTCGTAATCGCGATCCTCACTGTCGACGCGAACCTACCTTTTTGCCACCAGCTCCGACGTCGCCCCGAGGTCGAACCCCGCTTTTTCTAATCGATACCGATTTATCTGTCTTTCCTTTCTTTTCCTTTCTTTTCCCCGTTTTCATTTTCCATCGAATTACGCGAAATTTGCATCGTCTATACGCGCGTTAATCCCTCCGAAATTGCAAATGTCTCTTTTTCCAATTACAGCTTCCGTTCGCTGTATTAGCGGAGAAAGATTATTAATCGCACAATCGACATATTCGTTCGTCGTAGATAGATTGGACGACGCGTCGTTTACATTTAGGACCGACGTTGCAATTACAAAAACGTCGCGCTCCTAAGAGAAAGTTCATAGTTTCCGAGTTGCATAAAATAAAACCGACGATCGTTCCGGGTTCGGGAAAAAGCTCAATTTTTTAAGACATCTGTGCGAACGTTTTGTCGCAATCCACGTATCTGTACAGTGCGCGAATTTGTCAAACGGCTGGAAAAACGGTCGAACGTATCCGAACCACGAACGATGACCGACCGGGGGGGTTAACGAACTGGCGAGAGGGCATTCGATTTATTTTTCCGTAACCGAAGGAATTTTCGAGTTTCGTGGCCGAAAAGGTGTCTGTTGACCCGACGAAATGTTAGATTACCGAATCCGACGAAAAGTAGTCACGTCGAATCATTCTGTTAAGCCGATAAGATATAAGAAGTCGATATCCCAACGACCTCTAAAAAAAGTAATCTCTCTTTTGTTTATTATCCGAATTTTTAATTAACCTTTAGGATATTATCGACGATGATTAATCGACGAATTAATCGACGTCATTAGCGAAATTTCACGAGTCGCAACTTGCACATTGTCCATGTGTAATAAACTGCCTCGCATAACGGTAATCGATTAGATAACGAAACGAGCGACGTTCTATCCGTAGCGTAGGTTCGATCGTATAAACAATTTTACATAAAACCGTGAAACTTTGTTCGCGTAGTAGACATTTTTTCGTTACGTTTAATCTAATTTGTCATAGCATTCGCTGTGATATCGCGAGTGATAAATCAGTCATGCTAGATCCAACGATCGTGCAATTACGGCGAAGACAGTTTGGGCCTTTGAAAAGATTTATCGCTCTATAGTTATCCAACTCGTCTACTTTTTTCCCATTCGTTGCAATGTTAATCGTAACGGATCGCTTTCAATTTGCATCGTTGTTTTTTTTACTTAAAACTTGAAACGATCTTTTCTCCGAATCTCCGTTTCTCTCTGTAAGTTCGTCGAGCGAGAGAAAAATTGAAATTTCTCGCTGCACGTGTATACGCGTCATAGTTTGCTCGACGATAAAATCACGGAGCGGCTGTTTCGAGACGTTAATCGTCGTTACTTAACGAACAGGTGCATAGGTGCCGCGTTTCTCCCCTTTCTTCCGTTTTCTTCCGCAAGAATCGGCAGGCGAGTTTGAAGAAGGACCCCTCCGAGAAACGATGCAGGTAGCCCACGTTTCAGGACGCCCACAAACCTGTTTTACCTGTTATATCCCGGCTGGCTTATGAGTACTACCGATTCTTACGCTTCATCTTTTCCTTCTATCTGCCTTTTCCCCTGTCTAAGGGATCCCACGAAAAGAGAGGCAGATGAAGAGAGAGAGAGAGAGAGAGAGAGGGAGAGAGAAAGAAAAGACGGAAACATGGAACTTATTAGTCAACTAAATCGGTCGACTCATCGTCGAACCGCAAACTATATTCAGGAAATTCCATATTGCGCGACGTTTGATTTGTCGTAAAAAAGACGAGTTTGTCAATGGTGCATTTACAAAGTTTCAAACGTACCGCAAGGTGAATTCGAGGCGCAAGAGTCGACCATATTTTTGGAAATATCGGACGCGGTCGATAGAGGCAAGCGTTGGAGGAGGAACGAAGAAGAAAAAAGCGCTGTTTTCATAGTGTCAGCGGCTAAAATAGGAAATTGAAAAAAATTTTGACACAAATTTAAGCGGCGCGGATCCGAGGCCCGGCTATTCACGAACGTTTCTCTCGAAAAATATCGTGTCGGTGGTTCTTTTAGAACAAGATCCTTCGGAATTCGAGTCCAAGATTTAATAGGTCCCCGAGGTTGGCAGTAGAAAGGAGCCGGTAACTTTTCAGGACGATCCTTTCTTCGATCGATCAGATGTAAGCGCAAGCAAGGAGGATTCCGAGGAGTTCCATTGTGGATCATCGTTCTTTCAGAAGTGGAAGAAAGATTTTGACCCCGAGTCCTCGCTCGCACATACCTGTGCCATGATTAATGCTACGCCTCCTCGGCAACCTTTTTCGTTGCTTGACAACTGCCGGAAAATCCGGCTCGCCCAATAACATCGTCTTTAACTCTGTGCGTCACATAAAAAAAAAAAAAAAAAAAAAAAAAAAAAAAAAAAAAAAAAAAAAAAAAAAAAAAAAAAAAAAAAAAAAAAAAAAAAAAAAAAAAAAAAAAAAAAAAAAAAAAAAAAAAAAAAAAAAAAAAAAAAAAAAAAAAAAAAAAAAAAAAAAAAAAAAAAAAAAAAAAAAAAAAAAAAAAAAAAAAAAAAAAAAAAAAAAAAAAAAAAAAAAAAAAAAAAAAAAAAAAAAAAAAAAAAAAAAAAAAAAAAAAAAAAAAAAAAAAAAAAAAAAAAAAAAAAAAAAAAAAAAAAAAAAAAAAAAAAAAAAAAAAAAAAAAAAAAAAAAAAAAAAAAAAAAAAAAAAAAAAAAAAAAAAAAAAAAAAAAAAAAAAAAAAAAAAAAAAAAAAAAAAAAAAAAAAAAAAAAAAAAAAAAAAAAAAAAAAAAAAAAAAAAAAAAAAAAAAAAAAAAAAAAAAAAAAAAAAAAAAAAAAAAAAAAAAAAAAAAAAAAAAAAAAAAATCATCTACAACTTGATATTTCTACGCCAGCGAGATTGCGCCGCCAGCCGCGGGTATCGCGCGATATCTGCCGATATTTGGCGAAATCGCGCGTGTCGTGTACGTCTCGCGATATAAAATACCACGGAAAGACGAAACTCTCGAGGGAGAGCGAGAAAATGACAAACGGGGAAGGAGAATATAAATAGCGTATCAGTGGAGGCAGATTGGCGAGAGGGTCGTGCGTGTACATGGTAGAAAATCGGAGCAATTGGCAGGGAAAACGAATCGCAAAGAAACTCGAGATAACTACCAAGACTGACTCGGGCTTCGGACACGATCGGGCCAAAGATGAACTTTGTTCTAGCTTTTGAACAAACGCACGGTACACGTGGTAACGCGTAACGACGTCCGAACGACGTTTCAAGTTATTCTTTACAGAGTCAAAGTCGCTTAGTTTTACAGTCTCGAAGGCTCGCTCGCTCGCAAACGTACGAAGCGACGTGCATGAAAGAATCGGTGGTTTTGAAAATACCCTTCGTTACAACAGCCGTTCAGAGTACACAGTTGAAACCAGACCGATCAGAATTCCGAGCGTTTCGCGTCTTCGGAAGAGGAATTTGCTTTGTCGCGGTTACGTCAACGCATCGGCCGAAGGAAGAAAGAAAGGGAGATCTCGCAGCCTCGAAGAATGCCGTGTAATGATGCTGCACATCCGGGAGGACGACTGAAACGACGTCGATCCCCTCCATCGTCCAAAGGTCCCTTCTCTTCTTCTTCTTCCGTCTCTCCTCTCCTCCTCTTCTCCGTCTTATTTTCCTCTCCGCGCTTCCTACTTTATTTATGTCAATTATCGTCCTCGTTCTTCGCCTTTTCCGCCCACCCCTTTCCCTTCGTTTTCGCTACTCTCCTCTTTTTTTCTTCCCTCGATCCGTCCTTCTACCTTTCCATTTTCCTAATCTTCCCCCACCCCCTCCCCCGTTCTCACCTCTCGTTTCTTTTTCCGTCCATTTCTTCCGTCTTCCCACTCACAGTTTCGTTTCACTTGCCCCTCTTCTTCGACTTTGATTTTTTCGATTCCGTTTTGTTCGACTTTAGTCGCCTCGTTTGTAACCTTTGTGTGTCTTTTCGCGCTCGCGCTCGCGCGTGTGTGTGCGCGTGTGTGTGCGCGCGCGTGCATCGTACATTATAATACAGGATTAGACGGAGGTGAGAGACGCCGTGGCGTAATCGCTTAAGAACACAGAAGGAGAAGGTGGAAGAGCGGCTGTACGAGTGGAAAGAGAAGGAGAGCCGTGGATCGGAGGAGGAACTCGGTGAATCCCAGAGACTAGTTTCCATCATCCGTTCTCCCGTTTGTGGAGTAAGAACATTTACCATTCGAGCGCATCGTACTCGCGGAATTAATGCCCGCTTGATCCGCTCAAATTCGTGCATTTTTTAGACGGTAACGACTCGCAGGCCGGTTACCCGCAAGGTTGCCCCCAAGGTGCAATCGAAAAAGTAACAGATTTTACGTCCAACGATCGTTGTTACTCGTCGTTCGATCGGATACGCGCCTAATGTCGATCGGTGTTAACCGCGTATATACCTGCGTTTTTAGACCCCGAAGAAGATAGCTGTAACGCCGGACAAACGTCGGACAGAAATTCCTGTTGGACGCGGCTTCTAGCCGACAGTCTGCAACAGCTGTCGAGCATGTACGACGATCGGGCCTGTGAAAGCCTCGAGTCTCTCGACTAGATACAGTCCTCGGAAGATGCGCTCGTCGCAATCGCGTAATATTTCTTTTCATCGAATTATTTGAAACCATTGACCCATAAAAAATTGACCCATAAATAGGTCATTTACGATCGGTAAACGTAACGTACGTCGCCGTATGGCGTGCCGGAAGATACCACCAACATCTTTGTCGCAAACGTTGGACGAGATATCAGCTACTAGATGTTAAACGATATTTCGGACGAGATATCGATCTTTCTCTATCGACCAGGCAGACGAACATTCTCCTTCGACTTTTACGGATTTAAAAGTTCGTATAATTTTCTAACGAGATCGACGATATCCGATAGAACGTCGTTCGTAATCGCTCGCTATTTTAATACGTAGAGGTAACGTACGGATATCGCTTAAAGATTAGACAATGTCGTTATAACGTTCGTTCGTCCAACTTTTGTTCGTCCGATGAAAAATTAGATTCGCGCAAGAGAAATTTCTTTCTTTTCAAGAACGCGATAACGTTACCTATATAATACGCGATAAGGATATATCATTATTTTTTTCTATTTCGCGGGATTAATAATAGATACTCTCATCCTTGAAACGTCAAGAGCGTCGTCACGTGTTACCGTATATTATACAAAGACAATGTTGGTCGTTCTATATCGTTAACAAATTTCTTCTGTCTATATCCTTGTACGTAAATATTTCAAACAAACGTTTCTTTTCTTTTTTTGTAAATTTATCGCGAATCTATTAATTTATTGGCATCATACATGGGGCTCTTTCGATAGTCCTCGTATCAATTTCTTTTCGATGCATTTTTTAATCGTCTAGAAAAAGGTGTCGAGGCACTTGAATCGAAAGACGATTAATTTAAAAGATATTTTAACTGTAATCTGCGAGGCTTATCGCGTAAAAGACAAGGAGAGATAAGACAGTATTTTCATGTTTATGTTTCCTTTTTCTCTCGTACGCTCGACGATTCGATGAAATTAACATCGAAATATCTCGATTTCCGTAGGATTAAGTTCCGTAAAGGTTGAATCGCGCGGAGTAACATGTAATATATATATATATATATATATAGAGAGAGAGAGAGAGGGAGTGCGAAAATTCGAGACATCGAAACGAAATCTAAATCGGCGAATTACGCGAGACGTAAACGAGAGAGAAAACTGCGGCGATTAATTTTTATCGCGTCGATATTAATCGAGCCGACAGCGACGATCGATCCGAGATTCGAACAAAAGATACGAGTCGCGCTACCGAAACGAATCGGTATAGGCGATGAAATTGAGAAAATGGGTAGGCGCGTGCGCGTGCATTTAAACGAGCAAAAGGTACACGGAATTAGATAATCGTACAAACGTGGCAACTTAGTACGTACGATGTTTCGAAACCTTTTTCCCTTCCTCTGTCTCTCGCTCTCCCCCTCCGCAGCTTTGCTCGCTCCTTCTTCCTCGTAGATCGCTCGCTCTCTCTTGGCCTTTCTTTCTGCGGTCTCCCGCGATTTCTAATCGGGCAACGCAATTTCCTTCCTTCGACTCACAGGAGGAATTCCTCGATTGCGCCAACACCAACGTGGATTACTAAACTTTTCTCTCCTCGTCTGTCTTTGCCGTCCTGCACGCCAGGGCTTCTCGAACCGCGGGCTATTCCCATATGGGATCGCGTAACGGAATCACGGGGCCGTGAAAATTTTTCCAACTGCCACGAGCCGATGAAACGAAGAACCTCGATCGTCCGTCCTTAAACGACCCGGGACGACTCGCCCAACTTTTAATCCACGCAGGTCCGTAATTTTTCTTTCTCCTTTCTTCCTTTTTTCTCCAACGATCTCTCGTCAGACAGACTCGAACACGCTCGTGGCATTTCGTACTACGCGTCGTTGTCGCGTTTCGTCGTCGCGTCGAATATTCGGCCAACGTCGAACTCCTTCTGCAAAAATATCAAATTATCGGTCAAACGCGAAGTACGAGTCGCGGAATGTCGTTGTCTCTGTCGCGCAAAAAACGCGCGACTCATGGGACAACTTTTACGCTATAAAATTATTAAAACCACCAGGCCACGCGTTCTTTTTAGTCTCGTTGGTTTGTCCGGCAGGAAACTCGCGAACCACGTGGCTGAAAATGAGATCGATAAAGGTGGAAATAACGAGTCTAAAGAAAGTTACTCGTGGCAGATGCTTCGGCGTTACTTTTGTCCGTCCATCGATATCACGGCCAAGCGGCGGCAAACTCGTATCACGGGCGAAACTTTAAAGTTTACTTCCTTCTTTTTTTTTTTCTTCCGGACAACGACGAGAGAAACGTCGAAGATACGGACAGTCTCGAGGTAGAAAGCCGCGAGTAGGAACACGATGGAATTTGAGATACCAACGCAGAGCCGAATTTTCTCGACGAGCGAAACGGTTAATGGAAATTTTCCCGGTTTCTCGATCTTTGCGATTTCGATCGGTAGGGTTCCGCGTAAAAGGAAACGCTAACAAGTGGTAACGTTATAAATACGGCAAAGGATCGTTTAAATTTAAACATCTTTCGTTTATTATCGATCGATGTTTTATTCGTACGCTTGTTTTACGTATCTTTCTACGTACACAACCGGCGTTACGCAAAATTTTCCCGGGCAAAATGGGGTCGCGAATGGGGAAAGTTTAGGAAGCGCCGTCCTAAACGAAGGTACGCGCTATCTTAGTACCGCGGGCAAATTGCTCCGATTCTCATTGCGCCGCGTACGAAGCGGCGGAGCCTCTTTGCATCCTCTTCGGCGCTCGCTTTCGTAACTCGCCTGTTTGCGTATATTTGTGGCCTTTACCTCCAACGTTTATCCGATTTATCCGTTTCGTGTGGAACGGTAGCGCGTCGATAGGAATTTTAATCAGTGAAATTTTTATCTCGCGATATCGTACTCGACGACCGTCGAACAATATCGTTTCCCGGCCACTTTTCTCCTTCGAAATTATTTACCAGAAAAATATCAGCGGTTATCGTCGAATTAAGAAGTAATTTCTCGATCGAGCGGAAAGAGCGGTTAGAGGGGGGAGGGGGCGTTTTCGAAAAACGTACTCGAGTATCGTTCGTCGTCTTTTAAATACCGGCAGGAACGATTTTCCTCGTGTTCTTTCCGTTGCGAATCGTTACGTTAGGCCCTACGAATTTCCAAGAACGTAGCGGCGAAGCACGCGTTTTCACGCTGTTTCGCGACAATTCCAAAAGTCGTAATCTTATCGATGCATCGAACCGTCGAAATTTCGATCCATCGTCCGCGAAAGCCAAGATCACCGGCCGAGATAAAGCCGGGTAAATGCGGATAGTGCGAAGAAAACTAGAAGGCAATGGCAAAGTATTTAAACGCAGCTGGAGATATAAGAAAGACGAACGAATTTAGCGGTTGGACTTTGCATCCAAGAGCTAGGCAAGGATGGCTTCCGGTCTGTTCCTATGCCGCGTACCGATCTGCCATTACGTTGTCCGATTAAACGAGATTATATGGCGCGTTTATCGTTCGCCGTGCGCTAGCGTAACAGGAACGACCAAGACGAGAAATTGCGACTGTCGGGCAGTGAGTTTGACCGAGAGGCGGAAGAAGCGGAGGGAGAGAGCGATAATTCTCGCAATAGCCGCGATCGATCGAAACCGATTTGGTTGCGGACACGCGACTAGAATATCTTCGCCTCGTGATTCGAGTGTCCCGCATAATTGAGTGCATTCCTCGGCCACGCGGATTCCGCTTTGCGTCGACACGGATTCCGTCTGCTGCCGATAATCGTGCGAACATCGCGCGCTTACTCACCTTCGACGCGCGACAAAAACGCATTCCTGCTCGTCGACCGCTCCTACGACGACGACAACGACAGCGACAACGAGAATAAAGTAAAAATCCGTCTGCGGTCCGCTTACGAGCCGCACCAACCACCGACGATCGAGAAAAGATAATCTTTCTCGAAAACAAGGTGTTTTCGTTTTGCTCGATTCGCCGTCGATTCTCCGTCGATATTGGGATTATTCGCAATACGAGGAAACACGTTGTTCCTACCGAGCGATCGATCGCATCCACTCGCTTTGATCGATCGGCTAGCCCTATCTATCGAGACGTATCGAACCGATTAATTATTTCGAATTACGAAACGGGCAAAACAAATTCTACTCGCTCCGAAATCGTGTCGCGGTCGAGACTGCAATTTCGATAAGCATCGTCGATCGTCCGATAGCTGGATAAAGCTACCGTCAATTACGTAACATCGATTTACTTATTTCGCTTCCGTCCGGATAAATATTATTTCCAGTCATTCGTCGTATCGTCTTAATCGGTACATCGCACGCTCTTACGTACTTGCGAGAAATTCGAAAGCGCGGAAACGCGCCTATCGCGAATGGTTTGCCGTTTACGGTGCAAGTCGGTCCGTACGAAATTCGCTATTCGCCGTCTTTCTAAACCCAATGGGATTTTTTTATTTTCTCCGATACGAAGGTTGGATCGACGGATGAAACGCCGGACCAACTACCATCGGACGAATCTCCTTTCGTCGTCCGTCAGTCGTTCGCGCAGTGTTCGATACCGTCGTCGTAGTTGCATGCGGTGCAGGCGCATCTTCGAATTTATTTTCCCGGAAAACAGAGCGGCCGACGAAAAAATTTGATCGCGCGTTTTTGATATTTACTTGGAAACGCGGTTCGACCCGCTGTCGATCATTCGCTCCCACTCGGTCCGCAATTAGCCGAGTTCGAGCGTGCTCGCCAAATTTTCAAACCGAATTTTCTCGGAAACGGAAGGTCGTGCGAAAAAACGTCGTCCCTCCTTCTCGACTTGTTTTTACGCGTAGAACGGTGCGCGAGTGGCGGTACACCG